ACACACACACACACACACACACACACACACACACGCTGTACCTGTTTCAGGTTAAGGTAGCAAACATCTTTGTAATGCTGCTTCTTCAGGATTTAAAAAAAGTACAAATAGTTTAATAGTTTTAGATAAGCAAACTATAATTGCAATACTTGTATATAATTGTATTCCAACAACTATAAAAAAATGCTAATTATTTTAAACTGATACAATATTAAGGGGCTATGTGATAAAACTGTACATAATTTAGTGTGAGGAATTATACAGACTAAATTCTTAAAAAATTACACAATTTTATTTTTGTTACCTCACAAAAACAACCACTGGGTTTAAACACGAATGAGTGTAAACATATATATGGAAACATATATATATATATATATATATATATGGGGGGGGGGACTTCATGCTCTCATTTTACCTTGGTCTTCTCTGGATGTGAAATTTCTTCACAAAGAAAGTCAATATGTTCATATATGAGCATGATGCAAGGATCCAAGAATAAAAGCATGTATACAAGCAAAATGATGATGCATCAGCTTGTTCTTTAACAGTTGTTCAGTGCAGAAGTGATAAGGGAAGTGTTCAGCACAGTTTAAACACAACTGATGTAACAGCAAATGGAGTTTGATTAATTAAATGTGGAAATAAGCTACGAGAGCGCAAATAATAAATCTTTATCACAACTGTGCTGTTGTGGCTCAGGAGGAAGGAGATGTCTATCAGTTGGATGACTGGCAGTTTGAGTTCTGCTTCCTACACCATATGTCCAAAGTGTCGTTAAGGAAGTCCCTTTACCCAATAATCCAGTTATTCATTTAAATTGCTCAGGAGTTGCTGCAAGCCAATAGCTCAGGGGCTGGACAAAGAAAAAGTATTATCTTTCAGGTTTAATTTTGTTTATTTTGTTGCATAGAATCATAAATTTAAAATTTACAATTAATTTAAAATATATTTTGTATTAAATTTAGTAAAAATAAAATACCAAAACATTTTTTCGGGGGCGCTCATTGGTGTGCCAAACAGTAGTCACCCACAGACTGGATGTGGCCGTTGGACCACCAAATGAATAGCCCTGCCATATTCTCTCCAGTCTGCTTTGTAAAGCTGCTGTAAGTCATCAGCAAGAAAATGGTTTATAATCTACTCAATTCACATTTTATATATCAGTCTGGTTTAATTTATCTCATCAATAAATGATGAGATAAATGAGAAAATGCTTTAAATGTAATTTTCACCTGTTTCCTGGGAATGTATGACCTCTTTGTGGTGAGAAGAAAAAAAACTAGTTAATAGAATAAAGTTTAAGATGCTGTGTCCCAAAAACATTTGAAGATCTTATAAAGCATTTAAAGTATCTGAATAAGAATGTGTGGAACAAGGCAGTCTTCACAGGTTCACASATAAATTAAATCATTGCCTTAAAGGTATTTCATTTTAAGCAAAATATGGTTCGTTTTTAGTCACATTATGAGTATTCTTAAATGTACTTGAGGGAAATGCCACCAGCGGCTGGTCACTTTTGTCCAACAGCCTTTATATCTAAGTTACATTTTTTTTTTATTTTCTTTAAAACTAAATAAAAGAGAAAGTAGAGGATACACTCCAGAGGCAAAACAACTATTTTACACATTTGTCTGGAGTGAAAACTTACTGACTTTTACAAGTACAGTGTCTAAATATTTTAATTGCCTATTCCTACTAAATAAAGAACTTAAAATGTTTAGAATTTCTGCTTTGTGCTTCCTTCTTTAGACAAGTGGCCGCATAAAAAACATAATAGCAATTACGGCAAATGAGGGTCTCACTTGTGTTACATACAAAACACCATGTTTTCATGTGCAGCTTTTCAAGTCGATGTGCTAAGACCAAAATAATAAGTTATTTAAGATGTTATGCTGTAAGGCTGTCTTGCTTTTCATCTTGATCAGCATATTTATCATACTAACTCAAAATACGCAAGAATGTTTAATGAGGTTACAAAAGATCCATATTTTTGTCACGAGCACAAAATTCCAAAGTGTTTTGTCCTTGTTGTGTATTTGAAACAAATGTAGACCTCTACATATGCTATAAACACCTAGCTCACCTTGTTTTTTTCCACATGGGCAGTTGYTCTTCTCTTAAAGCTCAAGTCCTCTACCAGAGGCCTGGGACTTCAAAGTTTCTGTGTACAATACAGGCCAGAACCTCTGACCTGACCAACTACCAACCATTCACCTGCTTTTGTACAGCATGGAAGTTCCTGTCAGGCATCACAGTGGCTAAGATGAATATAGCACATGACTCAATACCTGAGTAGGGCACAGAAAGAAATCGGTAGCAACACCAGAGGAGCCAAACATCAGCTGGTCGACAGAACTGTTGCTTGAGACCAAATTTATAAACACATTTATTCACTTACATACATAAATGTGCACACAACTTTCAGGAATCAGAACAAATTCTTGACATCATTAAAATATTTTATGGAAATTACTACCAAGATGCCTTCCTCTAATATCCGTGATTCCAATTTACAGTGGGTAAAATAAGTATTGAACACGTCAACATTTTTCTCAGTAAATATATTACTAGAGGTGCTAATGACATGAAATTTTCACCAGATGTCGGTAACAACCCAAGTGATCCATACATACAAAGAAATCAAACCATAAATGTCAAGAAATGAAGTTATTTGTAATCATGTGGAATGGCACAGGGAAAAAGTATTGAACACATGAAGAAAGGGAGGTGTGAAAAGGCATGGAAAGCCAAGACACCAGCTGAACTCTCTCAGTGATTAGAAAGCAAGCCTGCCCCTTGTCAGTGCAAATTAACATCAGCTGGTTCAGTCCCAAATGATGGCCAGGTATCACACAAGAACCATCTGATGATGGGTAAAAGTAAAGAGCTCTCTCAAGACCTTCACAACCTAAAACTCCATTTGCTGAAACCTTCAAGATTTGAAAACTGTTTGTGTGGAAGAATGGGCCAAAATCACACCTGAGCAATGCATGCCACTAGTTTCTCCATACAGGAGGCGTCTTGAAGCTGTCATTGACAACAAAGGCTTTTGTACAAAGTATTAGATAAATTTCAGTAAGTGTGTTCAATACTTTTTCCCTGTGCCATTCCACATTATTACAACTAACTTCATTTCTGGACATTTATGGTTTGATTTCTTTGTATGTATGGATCACTTGGGTTGTTACCAACATCTGGTGAAAATTTCACGTCATTAGCACCTCTAGTAATATATTTACTGAGAAAAATGTTCAACACTTATTTTACACGCTGTATTTTTTGTTCAAAATGCAGCAGTAAAAACTTGCATTTTTTGCTGCCCTTCAATGACTACATTATACTGAGGTTTTAGCTTGAAGCGTTTCTATAAAGAAGACTTTAAGTAAAATCATAAATGAGAAACATTTAAACTCGAAGCATCAAAACTGTACCTGTGATTGTCACAGGAAATCTCTGATCTGGGCTGCGTCTGATTCAACTTCTACTGGACGGGAACCAGCTCAGACAAGAGTTACTGATTTAACAAACACGCGTGACTAAGGACAGTTTTATGTTCTAGTATTATGCAGAAAATTAAGTAGTATCTCAGATGTAAAGTTGGCAGCAAAACCCAGAAACAGAGTGCTGTTCTTTGCCGATACTTCTCAAAAGATACAGGAGCTTAACAGAGTGCTGCAGAGCGACAACCACTCCTCCACATCAGAGCTAAACAGAGCTGTTGGACTGGAGTCAATAAAATTTAAAAGGGGGCTCTGCAGACTGAGGCTGAGTCGCCATCAAAGATTTAAGTTTAACAGCTATTGATGTTAGATCTAAAGGCAAACATCACCTCACCATCACTGATGTGGAAAGAATAACTGCTGGATAAAAAATTTAATAAAAGAAATCAACTATCTACTTAACTCCCATGTCCCAACATTCCAACAACATACAGTATATTTAAAAAAAAAATTCTTGAGCTTGCATTTGACCAAAAGCAAACATTATAATCATATCTGTCTACCAAGCTGTTAAGTTAATATTCACATGAAATAAAGCATTAAACAGATGGGCTTTCTCTAAATATATATGATGTCAAGTTGTTCACCTTAGCCTATAACACTCATCCATCCAGCTGTTCACCTCACGCCAAAGGTCAAAATAAGAAAAAGGCCAAAAGCAGTAATGAGGAAAGTTCTACTGAGAACGTTGTAACCCTTTCCATCTGTTTTGTTCTAATCCAACCCTGACTCCAAGACTCAAGCTCTTCACTGAACTAGAAAATAAGAGGAAACTAAGACAGGCAGCTCTCTCTCTCTCAACCAGTAAATGATAGCAGGATCGATCGTCATGCCAGGAAGAAAAAAAATATGTTATGATTATATTTTATGTCATTGCTGCATCACACAACTCTGCCTGGTTGTCTGCTGTTGTAAATATTTATT